GGGAAGCCAGCTACCATGTAAATTCAACTACCTGAGACCACTACACTAACCAAAGGAGAAGCCATGCAGAAGAGAATCAAGCAACCAAGCTGACAGCAAGAACTGAGGACCCAAACATATACTTCAAGTTGAGCCATTTGTGTTACCCCAGATCACGCACAGAGCAGAAATGTGCTGCCCCACCAAGTCCTGCTCAGACTGCAGAATTGTGAGCAAATAATAAAACGATTGCAGTCATTTTATTGCAGGTGCAGTGGCTTGTGCCTGTAATCCCAACACTTTAGGATGCTGAGGCAGGCAGATGGCTTGAGCACAGGAGTTCAAGACCAGCCTGGGCAACATAATAAAACCCTGTCTCTACCGAAAAATACAAAAATTAGCTGCATACCTACAGTCCCAGCTACTGGGGAGGTTAAGGTGGGAGGATTGCTTGAGGCCGGGAGGCGGAGGTTGCAGTAAGCTGGGATCGCGCCACTGCACTCCAGGCTGGGCGACAGTGTAAGACACTGTCTTTAAAAAAAAAAAAAAAAAAAAAAAAAAAAGGTTGCTGTTTGAAGTCATTGCATTTTATGGTGATTTTTAGCAATAGACAACCAAAACACTTTTCCTTGTCCCCATATCCCCTCTCTCTGTTAAGCTCCATCAATTTTACCTCCAGAATATCCTAAGCCTACTCTCATCTCTGACACTGACTCTCAAACTACCATCCACTTTCACTGCAGTAGCCTTCTCAGTTAAAGTTGTCTCTGTGCACTTACACAGCCCCACTCCAGTCTGTACCTCACTGCAACCAAAGAGATCTTTTCCAAGCATAAATTGGATCACGTCATCCTCTTGCTTAAAATATTTCAGTAGTTTTCTTTTGTCCCTAAAATAAAAATCGTCAAAGTCCTTAGCATGGCTTACCTTGCTTAGCAAGGCTCTGCCAAGTTCTTTGTCTCTACCCACTGCCCAAGCCCCCTCTTGCCCTCTAATCTTTTTCTTTTATGCCATGCTAGCCTTTAGTTACTACACTCTACAACCCCTTTTGCCCCAGGGACTTTGTGTACACTGTTTCCTCTTTCTGGTATCCCTACCTACTCACCTGCCCCTACCCTATTTGCTAAGTGCTTCCTAGTTACCTTAATAGGCTTCAGCTCAGACATCACTTCCTCACAGAAGCTTTCCCTGCCCCACCTGGCTAAGTTTCCTTTTAGATTTAGCTGGTTGTTTGATTATTGTCTGACCGTTCCCACTAGACTAAGTTCCTGACTGGTTTTACCTGAAATGAACCTTGAAGGGGCTGGTGTGCCATCTGTCACAAGGATTTGCTCCTTATAAGTGCAGCCCAAATTCTTTGACACTACTCCCATTGAAAGGTGATGGGGTCAGGGGGTGGAATCTGTGTCCCCTCCTCTGGAATCTGGACTCTGTGACTCCTTGACCAGTAGAATACAGCAAAAATGACACTATGCCAGGTATCAGGCCCAGGCCTTAAGAAACTGGCATCTTCCATTTTCTGTCACTTTGAATGCTTTCTCTTTAACCCAATCTCCATGCTATCAGAAAGTCCAGGCAGCCTATGGAGAGGAACCAAGACCCTTGGTCCTCAGCCCTAGCAGAGCTCCCAGCTGACAGCACCAACTTGCCAGTCACATGAGTGAGCCATGTTGGAAGTGGAACTTCTAACCCCGTGTTGAACCATCCCAGCTCACACTGCATGGAGCAGAGATAAGCTTTCGCCATTGAACCTTGCCAAATTCCAGATTCATGAACAAAATAATTTTTTTCAATGACTTAAAAAAAATTGGGGGAGTGGTTTATTATGCACCAATAGATAACCAGAACATCAGCCAAAATGGCAAGCCTCTGCAGAAAGGCAACCCTTCTCGGGCAGGATCACAGAGCTGTTTGTGATGTCATCCTGAGTCTCACTGAGCCCTGGTTGACCAGGAGCCCACAGTGCCTTTCAACATATAGAGGAGTCTGTGGCAGTGCCCAACCAGGGTGACCACCCCTCATGTCCATGCTAGGAAGCAGGTGCAGACCTGGATCCAGGGTTCTCTCTTGCTCATAACCTTCCACCCTGAGGTGGTTGCTGGAGCCTACTGCTCTCCAAGGTTTTGCCCCAAATATGCAGAGAGCAGCCTGTTCCAGCTGGTGAAGGTGGATGTTGGATACCAAGGGACATCAAGCAGTGCTTCATGAAAGACCCTAGGGAGGGAATGCAGTTCGTGGGGAAGGCTCAGGGATCACTGCCCCAGAGGAATGTGCAGCTTTGTGCAAGGTGATTCAGGTGAACATTCACATTTGGTACACCAACTTCTGAGAGGCGTCTGTGCTGAGGCACACAACCTACACAGTGCCCTCTAGGCACACTCTCCAGTACAGTAGCCAGTAGCCGCACATGGCCTTTATTTATTTATTTATGTATTTATTTATTGAGACGGAGTCTCGCTCTGTCCCCCTGGCTGGAGTGCAATGGCGCCATCTCCGCTCACTGCAAGCTCCGCCTCCCGGGATCGTGCCATTCTCTTGCCTCAGCCTCCTGAGTAGCTGGGACTACAGGCGCCCGCCACCGCGCCCAGCTAATTTTTTTTTTTTGTATTTTTAGTAGAGACGGGGTTTCACCGTGTTAGCCAGGATGGTCTCGATCTCCTGACCTTGTGATCCGCCCGCCTCAGCCTCCCAAAGTGCTGGGATTACAGGCGTGAGCCACCGCGCCCGTCCCACAGGGCCATTTAAACTAAAAATTTTTTAAATGTTAAAGAGCCGTGATTAAGGTGATCTTGAGGGAAAAAAAAAAATTTAAAGCAATATCTCAGCCACATGAGTTACATTTCAGCTGCTGAAGAGCCACATGTGGCTAGTGGCTACTGAACTGAATAGTACAGATGTAGAACATTTTCATCACTAGAAGTTTTATTGAACAGTATTGTTCTAGGCCCTTTAAGAGAGGTCAGCCGGGCACAGTGGCTTACGCCTGTAATCCCAGCATTTTGGGAGGCTGAGGTGGGTGGATCACCTGAGGTCAGGAGTTCGAGACCAGCCTGGCCAACATGGTGAAACCCCCGTCTCTACTAAAAATACAAAAATTACCTGGGTATGATGGCAGGTGCCTGTAATCCCAGCTACTGGGGAGGCTGAGGCAGGAGAATCGCTTGAACACGGGAGGCAGAGGTTGCAGTGAGTCAAGATTGCGCCACTGCACTCCAGCCTGGGGGACAGAGCAAGATTCCATCTCAAAAAAAAAAAAAAAAAAAAAAAAAAGAGAACATGGTGAAACTCCGTCTCTACTAAAAATACAAAAAATTAGCTGGGCGTGGTGGCGGGCGCCCGTAGTCCCAGCTACTCGGGAGGTTGAGGCAGGAGAACAGCATGAACCCGGGGGCACAGAGCTTGCAGTGAGCCCAGATCGCACCACTGCACTCCAGCCTGGGCATCAGAGCAAGACTCCATCTCAAAAAAAAAAAAAAAGAAAAAGAAAAAGAAAAAAGAGAGAGAGGTCAACAGAGATGGCTTTGTCTCCAAGTCCATGAAAATAAATGCAAGAAACAAAACAAGGGCTCCTGCTGAGAGAACCACAGGGATGGCCAAGTTTGTCAGGCTGCTAGGGAGTTTTGGGGAGCAGCTTGAATGACTTACCCTGAGCTTTCTGCCTCCTTTCATAGTCACTGGTAACTTTTTTTCCAAACTCCTTGTTAGTATAGTCATTTCCTACTTGGGGATATCACATTCCATAACTTCCATCCATGACATGCAACAAAAATGCAGCACAACATCCTGGTTAAGAACATGAACTCCAAGCCCAGCGTGGTGGCTCATGCCTGTAATCCCAACACATTGGGAGGCCAAGGCAGGCGGATCACCTGAGGTCAGGAGTTCGAGACCAGCCTGGCCAACATGGCGAAACTCCGTCTCTACTAAAAATATGAAAATTAGCCGGGCGTGGTGACAGGCGCCTGTAATCCCAGCTACTTGGGAGGCTGAGGCGGGAGAATCGCTTGAACCCGGAAGGCAGAGGTTGCAGTGAGCCGAGATCATGTCCCTGCACTCCAGCCTGGGCGACAGAGCGAGACTTCATCTCAAAAAACAAACAAAAACATGGACGCTGGAACCAAACTGCCCATAGCAGAACTCTTGTTCCACAACTTACTAGAGTGACCTTGGGCAAGTTATTCATTCTCATTCTCATAGAGCCCGGGTAAAAAGGGGCTAATAGAAGTTCTATGAGGGTCACATGAAATAATATAAACATAATGGTGCCACGAAATAGTGAACACAATATATATTCGCTCTGATGTTCTCCAAACCTAATCTTATTTGGGTTTCCAAGAAAAAAAAAAAAAAAGCCTTCGAAAGAGACTTGGTGAGTGTGTGTAATCACCGTATCCTTCCCTGACTTCATTTTACTAAACTCTCCTCCTTCAAGCCCTCTTCAGTCCTCCTAATCTCTTCAGGGCCCTCCTCCTGGGGTGGTGGCACACGGCTCTAGTGCAGCTGCCCAGAGCCTGGCATCGGAGTATGAAGACTTTGATCTCAGGTGAAGCCATTCTCGTTTTTTATCTTCTTCTATCTTCCGTGCTTAGGCCCACCAAGTACTAAGTGTGTTCCAGGAGGCTGGAATATTATACAATGGAGGAAATTTGGAGACTAGGATAAAGATTTGGAGAAAGATGCATGAGAAGCTAAAGATGCAGGAGTTGCCTATGCCGGCTCTTGCTTCGTGGTCATGCAGCTTAACAGGCCCTGGATGAAGGCCGAGGGCTGGTGTTCTGAGTGTTGCCTGCTCGCAGTCAAGGAAAGTACAAGCCAGGCCCTGCCGGCTTCTCAGGACCGCGTAAGAAACAGAAGATGTAATAAAATCGCAATTTCCTATAAAATTAAATGCCTTAAGGGTTGTTAGCAGTTTCCCCGCCCCAGGCGGCTCCTTTAAGAGGCGGCTCCTCGCCCCGCTAACAGAGGAAGTCCCCGCACCCCGTTGCTAGGGTGCTCTGTGGCGTCGCATTCTCATTGGTGGGCGACGGCGGGGAGCACCCCCGAGGCAGCCATTTCCAACTAGCTGGCGGGGGCGAAAGATGGCGACGCCCCTCGGGTGGTCGAAGGCGGGGTCAGGATCTGTGTGTCTCGCCTTCGATCAACTGCGGGACGTGATTGAGTCTCAGGAGGAACTGATCCACCAGCTGAGGAATGTGGTATGCAGCTAGAGGAGCTTGGGGAGAGGCGGGGCCGGATGCCTCACTGATGGGGGCGGGGCCAGAACCTGTTCCGATGCCGGGCCGTGGCTAGAACGCATGGCCCATGGCGTAATCAGGAGGAAGCTGGGCTCGGTCGGTAGGGGTAGAGCCAAAAAGAGGCGGGCTTTCCTGAACCAGGGAATTTTAACTAATATCAAGCCATATTCTCCCTTCCGTTTGCCTGGTTGCTGCAAGAGCTGGTAGAGTCCCTGAGCCTCAGTTTCCCCATTTTCAGTGAAGATGACGTCACTGAGTTCCCATGGCCCTCGTGTGCAGGCAGAGAAACTGTCATCCCTTCTATTATGGACACCCTTCCGCAGAGTCAAAGGCAGTGCCATGATGAATGCAGTAAGCGCAGATTTGGCCCTTGCCAGCGCTAACTTAGGGGCCTCCAAGAACTTTACATGCCTTAGCTTTTGCCTTCTCAATCAAACCCCAGCTAATGGGTGCAAAGCATTGCAGTCACAGATTACCTGGGTAGGCATGATAGAATCCTGGCCAGCTGGAGTTCATGGTTTTTCTGGTTTTGTTTTTCTGTCTTGGTAAGAAGGTTGAATGTATCTCCATCTCAGAAATAAAACTGGCTTCACATCTATTTCTCATTCTAAGTTGTTCTTAGACAATGTCTTCCCTTCTGGGAAGTAGAATATGGGGGAAAGGGGAGAGAGACATGTCCTATTAGCTACCCTAATGCTCTAATTCAACAAAATGTATGGAGCTCTAGGCACTGAATTGCCTTTGATTCCCTGAAGGTACCCAGGTCTTCCTCTTGGCAGCTGACCTTGGCATGGGTGTCCCCACCATCCAGAATGCTTTTCTGTCTATCCCTTTTCTGGCCCACCCTATATAGCAGTCAGATCTCAGGTCTAATGTCCCCTTCTCCGGAAGCGATTCTGACCCTTCCCCAAGCTGTGTTGGTGCCTCCTCTGGGCCCCAGATCCCCTTATGTCTCCCCATCAAGGCACACAACATGTTAGAAGTGCTAGCTGTGGACTGCCTCCTCCATTAGACTGGCTGCTCCTTGAGGGCAGCACTTATTGCTGAGTCTCAGTTTATCTGTGGAACTGAGTTCTCCCTTCCCAGGGCCTCAGTCTCATCCTACCTTGAGCATTATCCTGTTATCCGCTTTTGGTCCTGGTCCCTAGAGGGCGCCCCTTCTACTCCAGCCCCAGGCCCTCCCTCAGCCAGGCTCTGTTGCAGATGGTTCTCCAGGACGAAAATTTTGTCAGTAAAGAAGAGTTCCAGGCAGTGGAGAAGAAGCTGGTGGTAAGTAATAGCCTCTGCAGTCTCCTAATCTTCCCCCTTTTCCCAGGACCCCTGTGGTTAGGCAGGCTCATTAAGTATTAGCCTCTGATGATGGGTGCGGTGGCTCACAACTGTAATCCCAGCCCTTTGGGAGGCCAAGGTGGCAAATCACTTGAGATCAGGAGTTTGAGACCAGCCTGGCCAACATAGTGAAACCCTGTCTCTACTAAAAATACCAAAAAAAAAAAAAAAAAAATTAGCCAAGCATGTGTGGTGGCAGGCACCTGTAATCCCAGCTACTTGGGAGGCTGGGACAGGAGAATTGCTTGAACCCAGGAGGCGGAGGTTGCACTGAGCTGAGATCATGCCACTGCACTCCAGCCTGCACAACAGAGTGAGACTCTGTCTAAAAAAAAAAGTAAAAAGAAAGGTCGGCCTCTGAGAACCTCTAGCCCTAGTAGCAAGGTGGCCAGAATCTCCCTGTGCCCTGGTGTCTATGTGTCTGTCTGAGAAGTGGGGCTGGTTAAGGGAGTCTAGGAGACCCAAGGCGGCCCAGGGTAATGAAGTGACTGCTGCCGCCCCTGCAGGAAGAGAAAGCTGCCCATGCCAAGACCAAGGTCCTCCTGGCCAAGGAAGAGGAGAAGTTACAGTTTGCCCTCGGAGAGGTAGAGGTGCTGTCCAAACAGCTAGAGAAAGAGAAGCTGGCCTTTGAAAAAGCGTGAGTGGGCCTCAGTAGGGCGTGTGGGTTTTGGGGGACGCATCTGCTTGCTAGCCTGCCCACCCTCCCATCTTCCCCACCCAGGCTCTCCAGTGTCAAAAGCAAAGTCCTACAGGAGTCCAGCAAGAAGGACCAGCTCATCACCAAATGCAATGGTAGGCGGGAGGCCCGTGCTCTCCACCACGGTTATATAAACGGGCTCTTTCCTAACCACCCAGTGCCTGTGTCAAAGGCAGGGTTTCACTCTAACACCTGTCCCCAGCTGAGGATACAGGCAGGCCCAGGTGGGCCACACCTTCGAAAAGGCCTTAAGGGACCAGGCAGGCCACGGAAATGAGGGAAGCAGTCGGTGTACTATATTCTTCACCGCCATAAAGGAATGGGCTTGCTCCCATTTTTCCTGAAACATACAACCTTCTTAGTCCACCTTTTGTTTTCCCACTTTTGATGGGTTACTCCTAACTCTGATACAAGAGGAACACAGGGCAAGCACTGTCCTATTTGGGACTTGATCCTTAGTCTCAGGGTCAGGACTCAATAGGGAAGGGTGCACATGGTGACAGGGGGATAGGACTGCCAGATCTTTAAAATGGAAATTAATAATTATTTATATTTTTCTAAGACTGGGGATCACTATGCTGCCCAGGCTGGTCTCAAATGCCTGGGCTCAAGTGATTCACCCACCTCAGCCTCCCAAGTAGCTGGGACTACAGGTGTGAGCCACCATGCCCAGTGAAACCAAGTTGTTTTGTTTTGTTTTGTTTTATTGAGATGGAGTCTTGCTCTGTTGCCTAGGTTGGAGTGCAGTGGCACACGGCTCACTGCAAACTCCGTCTCCCAGGTTCAAGTGATTCTTCTGCCACAGCCTCCCGAGTAGCTGGGATTACAGGTGTGCACCACCACACCTGGCTAATTTTTGTATTTTTGGTAGAGATGGGGTTTCACCATGTTGGTCAAGCTAGTCTCGAACTCCCCACCTCAGCCTCCCAAAGTGTTGGGATTACAGGCGTGAGCCGCTGCACCCAGCCAAAACCAAGTTTTAATGGAAGCTTTTCTGACTTTTTAGTGTTGGCAGTTGATTTTGAAATTTTAAAACTATTGTGTAGGCCAAGTAAAATATCTGTGGGCTGCCAGTTTTCAACTCTGCTCTGTGCAGATGCCTGTGGGCCACTTGTTTGGCTCAGTTGGTGCCATAAGTTGTGGGGCACCTTTAGAGTCAGCTACACCATGTCCTTACACCTCAGGAGCCCCGTTTATTTCTTAGAATGCTAAACTCCCCTTACCCAGTTTAAGTATGGGCTGGGCGCAGTGGCTCATGCCTGTAATCCCAACGCTTTGGGAGGCCAAGGCAGGCGGATCACATGAGGTCAGAAGTTCAAGACCAGCCTGGCCAACATGGTGAAACCCCATCTCCACTAAAAATACTAAAAATTCCCTGGGCATAGTGGCGGGAGCTTGTAATCCCAGCTACTTAGGAGGCTGAGACAGGAGAATTGCTTGAACCCAGGAGGCAGAGGTTGCAGCGAGCTGAGATTGTGCCATTGCACTCCAGCCTGGGCAACAAGAGTAAAACTCCATCTCAAAAAAAAAAAAAAAAAAAAAAAAAAAAAAAAAAAAAAAAAAAAAAAAAAAACATGTAGGTATGAATTCCAGGCACAACATCTGCTTTGTTCCCTGCAGCAGATCTCCAGTAGGCCAGAGCCCAAGCGCAAGAGGTTCAAGGTCCTTCCTGGTGAGGCTCCCACATGGAGCCTTGAGTACCCTGCCTTTCACCAATTCAGCCTTCTCTCTCCCCTGGTGAGTGCTCTCACTGGGAAGATGCCAGCAGGCTGACATCTTGATCTGGCCAGGCAGGCTGACAAGTCTCATAGTAATTTGGTCACTGGCTCCTGCCAGGGCAGGGCCCAACAGGCAGTCACTGCCCCCATGCTCAAGGCCATTGGTCCCCTCAGTCTTGTCCTCTCCCTGGGCATCCCCTTACTTCCCAAAAAAGAACCTGGGGTTCTTTCCTGGTGGGGCCAGAGACATCCTTCCCCTAGGTAATTTCCTTCCAACAGAGATCAGTCAAGCCCACGGGGCTTTGGATCTGCTTGTTGGTAGGTGTGTATGTCATGGGGACAGGTCCTGGATGCCTCCCCCAAAATATTCTAAACCCCTCCAGTGGGACACAAGCCCTCTTGAGCCAGTCTGGTGATGTGAACCTCACCCTGGCCAGTGCCTCCCACCGCATCCCTACAAACTCCCCTTGTGTGGTTCAGTTTGGTTTTTACACTTACATAGTTCTTCACTCTCAAAGGGATTTTCTAACCATTCTCTCATCATCGGGAGCCACAGGCTTTTATTTTCAAAGAGTCACACAAATTTCTAATTCTTTTTCCCAAACGAACTTCACAAGTAATTAATCCCACTTAGCTGGACGCCTGGGAAGGAGGTTCAACAGTCCTCATCCCATGACCTGGTGAACTCATGTCTTCATTCTCTCCCTCCACCTGTCTCTCCTCTTTTCCATGCTGCGCCTTCACTTTTTACCAGGTCTTCTCTTTTGAAATCTTAAATGCTTAGACATTTCTGTATTTTCAGAGTTTGTGTTCTAGTTAATTAATCCTTGTCCAACCTTTTTTTTTTTTTGAGACGGAGTCTCTCTCTGTCGCGCAGGCTGGAGTGTAGTGGCGAGATCTCGGCTCACTGCAAGCTTCGCCTCCCAGGTTCATGCCATTCTCCTGCCTCAGCCTCCCGAGTGGCTGGGACTACAGGTGCCCGCTACCACGTCCGGCTAATTTTTTGTATTTTTAGTAGGAACAGGGTTTCACCGTGTTAGCCAGGATGGTCTCGATCTCCTGACCTCATGATCTGCCCATGTTGGCCTTCCAAAGTGCTGGGCTTACAGGCGTGAGCCACCGTGCCCAGCCTGTTTTTTTTTTGAAGCAGAGTCTGGGTCTGTTACCCAGGCTGAAGTGCAATGGCACGTTCTTGGCTCACTGCGACCTCCGTCTCTTTTGGGTTCAAGTAATTCTGCCTTAACCTCCAAAGTAGCTGGGATTACAGGCATGTGCCACCACACCCGGCTAATTTTTGTATTTTTATTAGAGACAGGGTTTCACCATGTTGGCCAGGGTGGTCTTAAACTCCTGACCTCAGGTGATCCATCCGCCTTGGCCTCCCAGAGTGCTGGAATTACAGGCGTGAGCTACTGTGCCCGGCCCCTTGTCCAACCTTTAAAGACAGTAGGATTTTCTTTCTGTGGGAATCAGAATTTTCCAGGGTGCCATGTGGGGCAGTTATGTAAATGAAGCACCCCAGATCCCTATAGTCTCCTTGGATTTTGATCCAACACAGAAAAATTATCATTTATTTATTTATTTATTTATTTATTTATTTATTTATTTTTTAGAGACAGGGTCTTGCTCTGTCACCCAGGCTGGAGTGCAGGGGCACAGTCATACCTCATTGCAGCCCCCAGCTCCTGAGCTCAAGTGATCCTCTTGCCTCAGCAAGTAGCCAGGACTACAGGCGCGTTCCACCACCATGCCCAGCTAGTTTTTTTTTTTTTTTTTTAGTTTTGTAGAGGCGAGGTCTCACTATGTTGCCCAGACTGGTCTCTTACTTCTGGGCTCAAGCCTCAGAAAGTCATCTTTGCCCAAATGTACGATTAATTTGGGGGTAGGCTTTGCCACCACTATCTCACTGGTTCTTCCCTATACCACTGTGGGATAGGGCTGTCTCTTTCCCCATCTTTGAAATGAGGAAAAGGTCTGAAAATCCAGGCAACTCCATCTTCTCCCATGAACCCTGAAGCCCTAGCACAAGGCTGGGCATCCAGCCAGCCCCTGGGAAGTTTGGTTGGACTGGATGATTGAACTAGGTCATGTTTCTAAGTCCTAACCCCCCAGGAACATCCCATTCATTCGGTCTGCAAATATACTTTTTGTATACCTACTATGTGCCAGGTACTGTTTTAGGCATTAGGGATAAAGGCGTGAATAAAACAAAGATCCTTGTCCTTGTGGACCTTACATCCTAGTAGCAGAGAAGACAGATGAATAAAGTATATGGTATGTTAGGTAAAAGTGTTAAGAAAAATAAAGCAGGATGTCGGACATGGTGGCTCACTCCTGTAATCCCGGCATTTTGGGAGGCCGAGGTGGGTGGATCACCTGAGGTCACGAGTTCGAGACCAGCCTGGCCAACATGGTGAAACCCCATCTCTACTAAAAATACAAAAATTAGCCAGGTGTGGTGGCAGGTGCCTGTAATCCCACCCAGCTATTCGGGAGGCTGAGGCAGGAGAATTGCTTGAACTCGGGAGGAGGAGGTTGCAGTGAGCCAAGATCATGCCACTGCACTCCAGCCTAGCAACAGAGCAAGACTCAGTCTCAAAAAAAAAAAAAAAGAAAAGAAAAGAAAAAGAAAAAGAAAGCAGAAAGCAGGAAGAGGGAGTAGGAAGTACTGGGAAATGTAATTTTTAGATGAGAGAGAGTTTCTCCAAGGAGGCAACATCTGTAAAGACCTGCTGGAGTTGAGGGCAGGTGCCATTCATCTTCCGGCCTTTGGGCAGGACTGCCCACCTCTCTCCAAGGACCTTCTCCTGCCCTCATGTGGGTCCTCTGGTCCAGAATAGACTTGTGAAGTCATTGACAACAATCCTCAAACACTGCACTCCCCCAAGACTGCATAATAAACTCATTCATACTAAGGTATTAGCAGTTCTTCATGGAGAACTCCTGGGTGGGCAGCCAAGCTCTGAAAAGCCCCATGAGGGAATGCCTTATCTCAGGAAGGAGCCCTGGGATGGGAACCACCCCTCCTCCCTGCCTCTCTCCCCCACAGAGATTGAGTCTCACATTATAAAGCAAGAAGATATACTTAATGGCAAAGAGAATGAGATTAAAGAGTTGCAGCAAGTTATCAGCCAGCAGAAACAGATCTTCAGGTGAGGGGTCTGGGCCTGGCTGGGGGTGTTGATGACACTGGGGAGCCAGACCTCTGGCCCCTACATACCCTGGGCTGTCCACAGTCCACCACCAGCTGGCTCCATTGCAGGAATCACATGTCTGACTTCCGGATCCAGAAGCAGCAGGAGAGCTACATGGCCCAGGTGCTGGACCAGAAGCATAAGAAAGCCTCAGGGACGCGTCAGGCCCACAGCCACCAGCATCCCAGGGAAAAATAAAATGGCCGCCACTTTCCTGTTCTCTGGCTGTAATCCCCAGCCTCTGCCTTCTCTGCTCTAGGAGTCCCCAGCCTCTAGGCCCTGCTACTTCCCTCCCTTTTGGGTAGTGGTGAGGGTCCACAAGGTGGGGGCTTGTAGCCTAGGGGAGGAGCTGGGTCTTTGTTGTCTGGTAGGCACCACCGCTTCCTTTGAGTATTTAATCCCTTCCTATATAAACAGCCCTGGTTACCCAGTAACATCCCACCTCACTCCCAGTGTCCTGGTAAATTTAACTGTCCCAACTTGACTACAGGGCTGGAAGCCCTGACCAGAAACTTCAGTTCCAGAACCACAAGGAATTTGGGAAGTCAGTTTCTATCACATGACAATAATGTTATACCTGCAAATTGCATTTGCGCTTGCTGACCCTCCCCCAAACAAATAGGAGCTTCACAAATGGGAGGAAGAGAAAAGACAATGCTGTGTGTGGTTTTAAGGTGGAGAAACAATCTGGGAAGGGACCTGGACTTGCACAAGTTGCACAGGTAGGGCTGGATGGGACGGTCTAGCAACATTCTTTCAGAAGCCATCACTGAGTGTCCCCTAGATGATCATGGGGACACACCCAAGCAGAGGACCCACTTCAAGGGTCAGGGTAGCCCAGTGTAGCCTGTCCTGGGTCAGTTTGAGGCCAAGTACACAGGAGGGGTCAGTGCTCTTGCTCCAGGGCCAGCTGGGACCTGAGTCATAGCAGGACCTTGAAGCCAGAAGTTTAAGGGCAAGTGGTGCCCACAGTTGTAAGACAATGACAGGTGGTGGCTGCCTCCCCACCAGTGCCTGTCCCCAGGGCAGGTCCTAAGACTGTGGGGGCTGAAATTAGGGCCTTGTGAGTACCTGGGGGAGCACAGGGCTGTTCTGGCCTCAGGAGCCTTTGGAGCTGGGACCACAAGCTACTTCGAAGTTTCCCATGGGACCCCACATCGGTATCCAGGGCCTGTTCTAGGTGCTGAGGCAGATTGTGAAAGCTAGAGCTGTCCACTCCAGCCCCTTCCGATAGGTCCCACTGAGGGCAATGGGTCCAGCCAGGGGTAGTACCTTCCTGAGGCCCTGAGGAGTCAGGGAGGCCTCTATTGGTCGGTACTCCTTACTCTACTGAAGGTTGGGGATCGGGGAGAGTGTAACTGGGACCAAGGAAGGTGGTGTGTGCACCCTTAGGAGCTCTAGCTGAGGCCAGCAATGGCAATGGGGGTCCCCTGCAGTGATGTTAAGACACCCGGGGCTGAGGGGAAGATGAAATTGCTGACTCTACCAGAGTCTCCTTGTCTGAAGGTCTGGCTCACAGCCTGAACCGCACACAGCAGTGCCTGACTTCAGACAGATCCCCGCTGGGCTTCAGTTTCCTCACCTGTGATGGGTGGAGCTGGGCCTAACTCCTGGCTCCAAGGCTTCAAAAGCTGGGCCTGCCATTACCTCACCTGCCTGTCCGCCAAAACTTGGAGCCCACCCCAGGTACCCCGGCTTGTGCCTGAGAAGGGGGTTAGTTGGACATGGGGGCTGGACAGGGAAGGGTGCAGGGCCCAGGTCTCTTCTGCTGCAGGCGCCGCTGGCTCAGGAGTGGACGCGGCCGCTTTAAGGCGCGGTGACCCCACGGCATCCTCGGGCGGGGCGGGGACAGTGCCGGTGCCACCAGCGGAGGCGAATGCGAGGGAGATAGTGCGCGGCGTCCGGCCCCACCATGCTGACAGCGCTCGCCCCGCCAGCCTTGCCTGGGATCCCGAGACAGCTGCCCACGGCCCCCGCGCGGCGCCAGGACTCCTCCGGTTCGTCAGGCTCTTACTACACGGCTCCGGGTTCTCCGGAGCCCCCGGACGTTGGGCCGGACGCGGAAGGCCCAGCGAATTGGCCCTGGGTGGCCCCTGGGCGGGGGGCAGGTGCCCAGCCTCGCCTGTCCGTCAGCGCCCAGAATAGCCGCCAGCGGCACGGGCCCGGCTCGGATTTCTCGCGAGGCCCGGGCTCCGGCCCACGGCCACCCCAGCCCCAGCTGCGCACGCTGCCGTCGGGGGAGATGGAAGTCATCTTCGGCGTCGGGCCCTTGTTCGGCTGCTCCGGCGCAGAGGATCGCGAGGCACAACAGCTCACGGAGCCGGCCTTCATTAGCCCTTTGCCGCGGGGGCCAGCGTCTCCCACTCCTGTCCCACGTCAGTCCCAGGCCCCAGATGGTGGCTCCCGCTGGGCCACCTACCTAGAGCTGCGGCCCCGTGGGCCAAGTCCTGCAGCCCCAGCGCAGTTCGAGTGTGTGGAAGTGGCTCTGGAGGAGCGCGCTGCACCCGCCAGGCCCCGGACGGTGCCCAAGCGTCAGATCGAGCTGCGCCCCCGGCCCCAGAGTCCTCCGCGGGCGGCCGGCGCGCCGCGCCCCCGGCTGCTCCTGCGCACCGGCTCCCTGGACGAGTCGCTGGGCCGCCTGCAGGCCGCCGCGGGCTTCGTGCAGACAGCGCTGGCCAGAAAACTGAGCCCCGAGGCCCCGGCCGCGAGCAGCGCCACCTTCAGGCCCACGGGGCTGTCGGAACCTGCGACCCGGGAAACGTCCCGCAGCACCCGCGTGGTCCTGGAGAAGACTAAGTCTCGGCCACTTCGCGTACAAGATAATTCGGCCCCCGCCAAAGCCCCGAGGCCGTGGCCCAGCCTCCGCGAGCGCGCAATTCGGCGCGACAAGCCTGCGCCCGGAACGGAGCCGCTGGGTCCTGTTAGCTCCAGCATCTTCCTTCAGTCAGAGGAGAAGATCCAGGAGGCGCGGAAGACTCGGTTCCCGCAAGAGGCGCCGGATCGAACTGTCCAGAGGGCACGGAGTCCGCCTTTTGAGTGTAGGGTCCCCTCGGAGGTTCGGAGTAGGGCTTTGAGGCCAAGAAGCCCGTCCCCGCCGTGGCAGGCTCCAAACGGGGCTGTACGGGGTCCTCGCTGCCCGTCGCCCCAGAACTTGTCCCCGTGGGATCGGACTACTCGGAGGGTGAGTAGCCCATCGTTCCCTGAAGCCTCCTCCGCGTGGGAAAATCAGAATCTCGCCGTCGAGGAAACTGTCAGCAGGAGAAGCCCTTCCCCTCCGATCAGTTCCCAGTGGAATCAGTGTGTTGCTGGGGAAAGGAGCCCGTCCTTCGAAGCCCCTTCCCAGTGGGAGATTCCACATTCGGCAATCGGGGATGCGGTGGAGCCAGGTAGCAGCCCGTCCCCGCCGGCCTTCTTCCCGTGGGAGGCTCCAGATCGTCCTATTGGAACTTGGGGCGCATCTCCCCAAGAGACGTGGGACCCCATGGGGCCAGGCGCATCGATAGCATTTACTCAGGAAGCTCAGAATGGGTTAACTCAGGAGGAGTTGGTACCGCCTACACCGTCCCCACCAGGGACTCCAGAACCAGCAGAGATGCAGAGTCCATCCACGCGGGAGATTCCGGATCTTGCCTTTGGAGGGAGTCAGCCGTCCCCAGAGGTGGCAGCACCCGACAGCCACCTTGTGGGCACCCTGGACGCCGATAAGTGCCCGGAAGTCTTGGGTTCTGGAGAGGCGGCTTCAGGACGTCCGCGCGTGGCCATTCCGCGGCCTCGAGACGTGCGCAAGTTGGTGAAGACCACGTACGCGCCAGGCTTCCCGGCAGGAGCCCCAGGCTCAAGGCTGCCTGCGCCTCCTGCCGACCCCTGCGGGGAGGAGGGCAGCGAATCCAAGACGCAAGAGCCGCCGGCACTGGGGCCCCCGGTCCCGGCTCACTACACTTCCGTTTTCATCAAGGATTTTCTACCAGTCGTGCCGCACCCCTACGAGCCTCCAGAACCGTCCTTCGACACAGTCCCACAGGACGCCTCACAGCCCAACGGGGTCATGCGGCGGAGAGCAGAGAACAGCACGGCGAAGCCCTTCAAGCGCACAGAGATCCGCCTGCCTGGGGCCCTGGGCTTGCGTCGCCGGCCCGAGGTAACCTCGGGAGTGCGAGCGCGCGGCCCTGGAGGAAAGAACAGGGATGCAGAGGCCCAGCGCCTTGTCCCCGACGGCAAGGGTCGGACCAGCCCTCTAGGCGGCGCCCGCAGCTCATCCCAGCGATCCCCCGTAGGGCCAGCAGGGGTCCGATCGCCCCGCCCCAGCTCCCCTCAGGTGCACGCCAGCCCGAGCCCTGGGATAGCACCCAAACCGAAGACACCTCCTATGGCCCCCGAGCCCGCGGCTGCCGTCCAGGCGCCACTCCCGCGGGAGCCCCTGGCATCGGCGGGCAGGACGGCCCCCGCCCAGCCCCGCGCTGCCTCGGCGCCTCCCACAGACCGGTCCCCGCCAAGCCCCTCCCAGGGAGTGCGCAAGCCGCCCGGGGCCGCGCCCCGGGGGAAGGTCTTGGTGGACCCCGAGAGCGGCCGCTACTACTTCGTGGAGGCGCCGCGTCAGCCTCGGCTGCGGGTGCTCTTCGACCCCGAGAGTGGGCAGTACGTGGAGGTGCTGCTGCCGCCCTCGTCCCCTGGGCCGCCCCACCGCGTCTACACCCCTCTGGCCCTGGGCCTCGGCCTCTACCCGCCTGCATATGGGCCTATACCCAGCCTCTCCCTGCCACCGTCCCCAGGCCCGCAGGCTCTCGGCAACCCCCAGCTACCCTGGGTCTCTGAGGCAGGGCCCCTGGACGGGACCTACTACCTCCCAGTGAGCGGGACCCCCAGCCCTGCACCTCCTCTGCTCTTCTGTGCGCCGCCCTCCAGCTCAGTTCCCACCCAGCCCGGCAAGGGTTCCTTGTTCCCACTGTGAGGCCCCGGGCAGATCCCCATGGAGTTGGAGCCCTTGGATGGCCTGGGAGGTTCTGGCATCCAAGCCCCTACCCTCCTCTCTTTCCGCTGCCTCTGTCTTTAACCCATCCCAACCAGTCGTCGGACAGGAAGTGATCTTCAGAGAATGAATCTGAGCCCCGAGGCTGGCGGAGCTGGAGTCACCCAGGAAGTGGCTGCCTACTTCCTCTCCCAACGAAATTATGTATCCCTTTCCCAGGCATTCCCAGGGCATGGTGTGGTGTGGTGTGTGGGTGTGTGTATATGTGTATATGTGGGCAAGCAAATAGGGAAAGTGAGGCATCCCTGGGCTTGTCCCCAGGAGCCCATCAGAGGAGGTGCTGGGGCTGCCCTGTGGCAGCAGGAAGGGGAGCAGCAGGAGACAGGGCAGGGAACTGTCTGCCTTCCCTGATAGCAGGCCCAGGTGAGGTGAGGCTGGCCAATGCCCCTGGTGAGGTGGCAGGAAGGACTGGCTGTCAAGTCTGCTCTTAGGAAGAGGAGCTGAGCTTTGGCCCTGGAGGCTACTGGGGGGAAAGTGGCCAGTACAGCCCCAGGCCAGGCTGGCTCTGAGAAAGGGAGCTAAGGCAGGGGGACAGCAGGTGGAAGCAAAGCAAGGAATACAGGGAGGGCCTGGGTCAGGGGTGAGCCTGGAACTTGGGGTGGGAAGATGGGGAGCCTGGCCCTCAGAGCTGAGCTGACTCATTTTTGGGCCAGGGGTGGGGCTTCTGTCCCCAACCCCCTACATTGGGAGTAGGTGAAATGGTCATCAGGAAGGTCTGAGAAGAGGGAGGGTTGGGCTCTTGTACCACAGGAGTCTCTTGACCCCTCTCTGTGGTTAGAAGGTGGGCTAGGGCTGGCAGTAGAAGTGATACCCCTGGTGGAGTAGCCAGAGGGACTTGCAGTTCTTGGCAGATTCCACTCCCCAGTAACAGATGTGGCAACAAGGCCCAGAGAGGGGCTGGCCCTACAGACCAGTCACAGCAAGGGACAGGGCCCAGAGCCTGCACTTCAGTTGCCCTGAGATTCCAGGAGCCTCTGAGGGAGATGAGGGGGGTCTGCATGAAGTGGGAGGTAGTGTGCGTGGGGGTCTGTGTATAGTTCTGAACCAGAAATGGCTGGCCCTTGCCAGCCTGGTGTGTGATGTGATGAGTTTGCGAAGGACAGTTTCCATGAGAAGCAGTGGCAAGGATGGGGATGGATGCCTTCGTTGTTCTAGGCCTGTCAGGGGGCCCAGGTCCCTAGCAGTCCCTGCCCTCTGCCCTGGACTGGAAATTGATTAGGAGAGCTATGAGTCAGAACAACTGGCCATTTTCTGGCTGGAGACACCAGCTCCGATGGCATGGAGGCCCTGGGACCACCCCAGGTGCCTTTACCTCATCCTGGTGTGTAATAAATCACTGACCATGGAGCCATGATGGCTGAAATAACTGGTGTGAGGTGCCTGATTTCCTGCCATGGCCTCTCAACACCCTCCACAATGTCCTTCCGTGCCTGGGTATGGCCTGGGTGGAGGGGACCTCAGGGCTAGGGAAGGAGACCATGTGTGTCTTAGAAACACTGTAGCATCCCTGTCTCCCTGAATTTGCCTCCCAGGAGGCTGGCAGCCACACCTCATTCCTTCTGGTGTTGAGTGGCCAGGGCGCCTTGGGTCAATCAGGCTTGGGTTTCTCAGCATGGCCCCTCTAGCTATGTGGCCTTGGATTTGTCACCTCTCTCTGAGCCTTTGTGTCGGAAAAGGTAGAATAAACATGACAGTCTTATTTCTCAGAAAGGTCAATGAAAAAAGATGACGGCAGCCAACCAACTGTTCCCACAAGGTACTCAGCAGAGTGCCTATCACTTAGCCAGATCACAGGATGTGGGAGGTATGGGCCCCTATGTGTTCTTGCCCAGGCCCAGCCCCTTTCCTTGCCTCATTGCTCCCTATCTGTGAAATGGAGCTGAGATGGCTGGAGCCAGGGTCCAGCTAGAGGACATGCCCACGTGGCATCTTCAGGGCCCTGGAGGAAGGAGTGGGAGGAGGATGGGAGGGGTGAGGTGTCAGTTCCCCATTGGTCTAGGCCAGGTGTTCTGCGGCAGTCCCCACACCACACAAGCACATGCACATCTGCACCTCAGCCACATCCTACGCTTGCTGAACTGGCTCCTGGGGCCATGAGGCTGTCACTGCCACTGCTGCTGCTGCTGGGAGCCTGGGCCATCCCAGGGGGCCTAGGGGACAGGGCCCCACTCACAGCCACAGCCCCACAACTGGACGATGAGGAGATGTACTCAGCCCACATGCCCGCTCACCTGCGTTGTGATGCCTGCAGAGCTGTGGCTTACCAGGTGAGTCCTTCACTCACACCCCTTCTCAAGCCAGACCCCTCCATCCACCTCACATTCTACCACCAGCCTTTCATCCTCAATCCCTACCACTGGGCATCAAGCCACAGATGCAGTCTTTAATTATATTCCATGCCTCAGTTTACCCATCTGCCTGCCCAACAGAGAGCAGACAATCTGGGAGGCCTCCATCGTATCTTGAGACCCCAGGGAATCACTCACTTGTCCTTAGGCTTCTCCCTTTCCAGGCCCATCTTTGGTTCTGGACTCCCTCCCCAAACCTGACGGGGCGACTTTGGCTATGTGTACATGGTGCATGTGCACACGTGTGAGCACCTGCACGTGAGTATGCGTGTGTCTGGGTTCACACACACATCTGCTGAGCATGCCTGCGCACCAGTGTCTCTGTGAGGTGGGGGCCTGGGAGTACTTGTGCTGTTAGTTTTTCTTACCTTGTTCTTGTGGTTTAAAATGGCATATGCCGGCCGGGTGCAGTGGGTCGTGCCTATAATCCCAGCACTTTGGGAGGCTGAGCGGGGCCGATCGCCTGAGCTCAGGGGTTTGAGACCAGCCTGGCCAACATGGTGAAACCCTGTCTCTACCGAAAATACAAAAAATTAGCTGGGTGTGGTGGCGCCCCTGTAGTCCTAGCTACCTGGAGGCTGAGGGAGGAGAGTTGATTGAACCTGGGAGGCGGAGGCTGCAATGAGCTGAGATCACGTCCCTGCACTCCAGCCTGGGCGACGGAGGGTGTGAGACTCTAAATAAATAAAAAAAAAATAAAATGGCACGTGCCACTGGGCAGGTGTGCCCTGGAGGAGGGACCCCAGTGTCCAGGCCTCACCTACCACTTTAGCATTTCTTTCCCATCCCCCACTCCCATCCCAGGGAGCTTTGGGGGCTGGGGGAGGGGCCGTGCAGCAGCCTTACAGGTGCTTCCTGCTCAAACAGCTCTCTTGCCGCCTTATTCTCCCCAGAGACTCTGCTCCTATCCTCCCCACCTCCCCCTAACTGAGCAGCAGTCCTGAGGCCCTGCCTCCCAGTCCCTCCTTGTTCCAGATGTGGCAAAATCTGGCAAAAGCAGAGACCAAACTTCGTACCCCAAACTCTGGGGGGCGGCGGGAGCTGAGCGAGTCGGTCTACACGGATGTCCTGGACCAGAGCTGCTCCCGGAACTGGCAGGAGTGAGTTGAAAATCCTGCCCCCACCTCCCTCCTCCAAGGGCAGGCCTAGTGGGTGGAGATTCCCACTCACCTGCTCACACGACACACACTCCACTAGGACCCTGGTCCAAGGAATGAGCTGGCTGGGATGAAGTCTGGGCTCTGGAGCTGAGAGCAAGTGGGAGAGCAGATGGCCAGCAGACAAGGTCACCTTGTGACCTTGGGCCAAGGGCTTTCCCTCTCTGAATTCCGCAAACACCCAGCATGTCCAGCTTGGTGTGGAGAAGGGTCTCTCCCTGGCTGGGCTCCTGCCAAAGCTGTACTCCTCTCCTCTCCACTGCCACCAGCTATGGAGTTCGAGAAGTGGACCAAGTGAAACGTCTCACAGGCCCAGGACTTAGTGAGGGGCCAGAGCCAAGCATCAGCGTGATGGTCACAGGAGGCCCCTGGCCTACCAGGTGATGCCCGGGGCTTGGGGATAGAATGAAGCTCCTGGAGCCTTGGTTTGCCCCACTGTGGGCTGGGCAGCATCTGAGGCTCCCACTGGGCTCCCCTAGGCTCTCCAGGACATGTTTGCACTACCTGGGGGAGTTTGGAGAAGACCAGATCTATGAAGCCCACCAACAAGGCCAAGGGGCTCTGGAGTCATTGCTGTGTGGGGGACCACAGGGGGCCTGCTCAGAGAAGGTGTCAGCCACAAGAGAAGAGCTCTAGTCCTGGACTCTACCCTCCTCTGAAAGAAGCTGGGGCTTGCTCTGAGGGTCTCCACTCCTATCTGCAGGCAGCCAGGAGGGCAGGAAGACCTTGCTCTGTGCTGCCATCCTGCCTCCTTCCTCCAGCCTCAGGGCCCTGGGGCCTGGGTGGGAGCCAAGGCCTTCTCCTCTGGACTCAAATAAAACCCAGTGACCTCACTTCTTTTCTTTGCAAAAGGTGCTTGGGGGGCTGGGAGTGCAGACATTGGTGTTTCTTCTGATGTCCCTTCTAAGGAAAAAAAAAAAAAAAAACCCCCAAAACCAATTTTTTGGGGGGTTTTTTTTTTTTTTTTTTTTTTTGAGACAGTCTCTGTCACCCAGGCTGGAGTGCAGTGATCTTGGCTCAATGCAACCTCCACCTCCCAGGTTCAAGAGATTCTCCCACCTCAGCCTCCTGAGTGGCTGGGATTACAGGCACCCGCCATCATGCCCGTCTAATTTTTGTATTTTTAGTAGAGACAGGATTTTACCATGTTGGCCAGGCTGGTTTTGAACTCCTGACCTCAGGTGATCCACCCACCTTGCCTCCCAAAGTGCTGGGATTACAGGTGTGAGCCACTGAGCCCAGCCTTCAAAATGCTTTTTCTATTCTCTCACTCCACAACAACACAGAAGATGGCTGTGACCAAAGGCGTGGGGGCTTTCCCCCACACACCAGACAAGCAGTTCTGCAGCCGACACCAGCTGGGTGCCCTCCAAAATTTAACTCTGGCACTATCTACCTGGAGATGGCATCAGATCCCACAGGCTGAGGACTCAGTCCCCTGTTCTGTTCCCTATTCCTATGCCAGTTCCAACTCTAGGCCTCTGGAGCTTCTGGCCTATTGGCTTCAAGATGAGGTTCCCACAACCCCCTCTTTGAGTTCAACTAATTTGCTAGAGTGGTTCATAGAGCTCAGAGAAACATTTGCCAGTTTATTATAAAGGATGTTACAAAGGATACAGATGAAGAGATGTGTAGGGCAAGGTATGGGGAATGGGCTCGGAGCTTCCATGCCCTTCATGGATGCATCACCGTCCAGGAACCTCCACGTGCTCAGCTATCCAGAAGCTCTCTGAACCCTGTCCTTATGAGTTTCTGTGGATGATTCATTAGGTAGGCATGATTCATTAAGCCATAGGCCATTGGCGAACAACTTACCCTCCAAGCTGTCTGCTCTCCCTTGGCTGGGGGTGCGGGGTAGGGGGCTGAAATCCTGCCTTGGTCTCTCTGGTAACCAGTCCCTGTCCTGAAGCTACCCTAGGGGCTGCTAGCCATCAATCTTTAGCACACAAGAAGACATCATTTTGGGAATTCTAAGATTTTAGAAATTGTACTCCAGGAAACGAGGTCAAAGACCAAATATATATTTCACAATATTACATCCCTCCTACAGAAGGCCAAGTATACATCCCTACAACTTCCAGAGGTAAGAGAGCGCCGTCAATGGCGTGGTGATGTAACCGCCCAAAGGGTTCACCTTGCCCAAGCCTAGACAGAGCTGATTTCTCAAGACCGGGGAATTCAATGAAGAGTAATGAATGCAGAGCTGGCTGTGCGGGAGACCAGAGTTTTACTATTACTCAAATCAGTCCCCCCAAGCATTCGGGGAGCAGAGTTTTTAAGGACAACTTGATGGATGGCGGGGAAGCCAGTGAGCCAGGAGTGCTGATTGGTCAGGACTGAAATCATAGGGAGTCGAAGCTGTCTCCTTGCCTTGAGTCAGTTCCTCGGTGGGAGCCACAAGTCCCGATGAGGCAATTTATGGATCTGGGTGGTGCCAGCTGATCTATCAAGTGGAGGGTCTGCAAAGTATCTCAAGCGCTGATTTTAGGAGCAGCTTAGAGAGGGTCAGAATCTTGTAGCCTCCAGCTGCATGACTCCTAAACCATAATTTCTAATCTTGTGGCTAATGTTAGTCCATCCTACAAAGGCACTCTAGTCCTCAGGCAAGAAGGAAGTCTGCTTTGAGAAAGGGCTGTTATTGTCTTTGTTTTAGACTATAAACTAAAAACTAAGTTTCTCCCAAGGTTAGTTCAGCCTACACTCAGGAATGAAGAAGGACAACTTGGAGGTTAGAAGCAAGATGGAACTGATTAAGTTAGATCTCTTTCACGGTCTCAGTCATAATTTTGCAAAGGTGGTTTCAATGACATCCCAGGTCTTCAGAAACATCATGAGAAAAGAGAACCAAGGAAAACTCTGCACGCAGACCACCTTGTGGCACACCTACTCCAGCTACTCCATGCTGTCTGCGCCCCTCCCAGAACACACGTCTCACTGGGTCTACACCTAATGGCTGTTCATTTTCCACACTCTGCCTTTGACCCCAGCTGGTATGGATGGGCCCTGGATTTCTGACCAGCCAGATTCAACATTTTGGTTCTCAGTCCTGCTTTCCCCAGAAATTCTTCTGGCTGAGCCTTTTCCTTAGTAAAGGAGCCCTGGACCCCACCTAGGTCTGGGAACTGGAGATCGGTGGCACCAGAACTTTCAGTTTCCTTTGTGAGTGTCTCTGATCTGGCCAAGCCCTGGGAGAGAGACAGAACATTCTAAACCCAATTTTTAGAAATATTTTTATTTTGCACAAGAGCCATGTGTAGGAAGACAATCTAATCCCTCTTTGACAGATGCAGAAACCGAAACTTAGACAACAGAAGAGGTTCAGGCCAAGTCCCAGGCTGAGTTGTAGCAGGGCTGGGAGGGGATTCAGACTTAGGGACCGGGGAGGCCAGCTGCTGGGGAAATGGAGGTGCCCAGGGCAGGCCCTGGCCACTCCAGCTTCCCTGGGAGCTGCGCTCAGCCCCCTCCATCCTTCACCTGTTCCAGGACTTGCCTGAAGCCCCACTTTCCCTGGCCTTCATTCAGGAGAGAACCCCTAGACACCAGGAGGAAAGTCAGAGCCCAAGAAACCCACTAAGCTGTCAGGACAGGGTGTGGAACCGGGGCCCCGTGACATGGACCTGTGTTTTTCTGTGGGTTGATTAGAAAGGCTGCATCAGTTCTGGTGTGTGGGCCCCTTCGTGCTACTGTGGATCTGGGACCTTGTTCTCCACCTTATTCTTTATGTGTATTGTGTGGTTTGGGTTGAATTGAGTGTCCATGGAGCCCTGTCTGCAAGGGGTGGGGCTTGGTATCCACAGCCCCCTGGGGAGTTCTGGGAGGAGAGGGTGGAGAGGAAAGTGCTGGGGAGTTGCAGAGGCTTCAAACTGGTCCAGCAACTTGGGGAATTGGGAGTAGGAGCCAAGAGGGAGAGGAGAGGACAAGTGGATGGTCAGAGGAACAGTGTGGACACTGGCAGGCAGGCGGACTCAGTGCTGTGGCATGAACCTGCTGTTTAGTTGGAGAGCGGTGCTGCCCCTTGGCCCTTCGGGCAGGGCCTGGCCATGGGCACAGCCACCCAGAAGTAGGTAGGCCCTAGAGTGCTGGGGCTGGGGCAGCCCAGAGGGAACAGAATGGGGACCTCAGGCCTAGCCCTCACCAGCTGAGGAGCCTGAGCTCTTAGGGCCCCTCCCCATGTCCCCCCTGCCATCCTCAGGCCCTGCTGGGCTGGGCCTGCCAGGAGGGGAGAGAGTTTGGGCATAGGACTGCCTTCCTGGGCTGGGTGATGGGCAGTCACACCAGGCTTGGTGCATAGAAAGGCCCCATGCTCCATCTGATGCTCTTGCTATCTTTAAATTCTTTATACTTTTGGAATAAAGGCCTCACATTCTCACTTTGCACTGGGTCCCACAAATTATGTGACTGGGAGGGAAAGGGATCTGTGTCCTGACACAGGGTGCAGGCCAGGCTGGGCCAGCCTAGGCAGCTCCATCTGCAGAGGCCCATCGGCTGCCTGCCTCAGGGACCCTGAGGGGTGCAGGTGGTGGGGGCAAGGCAGCTCAGACCAACCTGAATTTTAGGATTGGTTTCTGCAACCTTGCTATCTGCATGGCTTGGGTCAAATCACAGCTACTGAATCTGTTTCCTTCACTATTAAAGGGGTTAATACTGCCCAGCACAGGGGTTACTTGGGACAGTGCAAATCCATGTTTCTTGGCACAAGGCCATTCCTTAATAACGAGAATGACTATGATGATGATGATAATGATGAACTGGTTATTAATAAATGGGGAAGGGCCTAATACAGGGGGTTACATAATAAGTGCCTGTTTCCACTCCCTCTTTCTCCCCTCACCTGGGGCTTGGTAAACTTCTGGTCCTCACCCCCTCGACTCTGGCCCTCTCTTGGGAAACAAGAACAGGTCCAGCACCCAGGTGCAGATGTGGGCAGGGAAGGGCACATGTGGCAGAGGCTTGGGTGGCTTTTACTGCCCTAGTGAGAGTTAATACATTACCTCTGCCCAGGCCCCCCTTTCGCAATCCGGAGCTGGGCATCTGGTTACAGATTTACTTTGAACAATGCCTGATATGTGGAGTAAAGTCCTCCTCCTTGGCCTTTGTAAAGTCATCCCCTCTTCTCCTCAGGAACTGCTCAAACCTGTGCCCCAAAGATGAGGGCCCACGAGGACCCCGAGGGCCCGACACAGGTGCTGGAGGCTGCGGGTGGGGGCTAGGTGGGGGCAGGGGGCGGTGGGGGGCTGGAGGGCCTGTGCAGGCCTTCTCCCGGGAGGCCAGAGATAAACATTCTGATGAACTTGATAAAGAGTGACTGTCCTAAACTGAATGTGGCAACTGGGGGATGGGGGGGGGGGGGGGTCAAGAAGCCTGCAGCTTGGGGACTGGCTGACTCTAGGTTGGGGTTCAGGAGAGGCCTAACCTCCCCGCCAGTGACACCCCAAAGATCTCCAGGGGGCAGAGGTGGGACCGGATTGGACTTGTCCACAGTCTCGAGCCCTCTTGGCCCCCTCTCCTGTGGTCCCCAGACCTCTGACTTAGGGGTCCATTTCCCTGGCTAAAATGACAGGTCCTGAGGGCTCTAGAAGCTGGCACAATAGACTCATCCCTGTGGGAAGCAATGTGAAGTGGGAGACAACTGTGGCCAGGCCGAGTGGGAACCGGGTGGATGAACTGTTGGGGAGGGCAGGGACCCCACTCTCAGTTGCTGACAGGCCACTCGGGCTGCCTGATTGTTTTCGGGGCAGAATGGATTTTGTCTGTCCCCATCACGCCACCCTAAGCTACTTATCTCTGCTGCCCCTAGCATGAATCCCCCAGGGACCCTCCGACCCCCCTACCC